GTAGTGGGGTTTGGATCTCACCTGGCAGGACCAGGCAGAAATTATATAACTTGGCATGTAGGTGTTATGGACGACAATGCTGTCAATCTGAGAACCAAGGAAGCAGAAAGAACCATAAAGAAAAGTATGGGCAAGAACAGCATTTTGTCTAAACAATGGACAAAATGAAACCAAATACACAAAACCTCCAGACCAACAACTGAACAAGAAATGAGCCTCCGAGGGACAGATTGATGCCCAAGTGAGGGGTCCATGAGGTCCCACGGCTCAGTTCCGTTTCTGTTGAGCCACATTGCTGTTCCTGCCACTGTGTCCCCTGTCAGCCTCCACTCTACCCTTTAGATTTTTCTCTCTCCTGCATGGGTATTTGTTGAGACATGCACAGCTTAGGTATTGGCCTAACTGGGGCAAATGAAGAAATGACAGATTACAAAAAGCTGGGTGGGAGTGGGTGGGTCATGCACTCTAATGGCGACAAACCAGTAGCAGCAGCCAGAGACTCCGTGTGTTTGTTTTATACATCCGTATCAGTGATGTGGGTTTACGGAATGCAGCTGAGCAAAGGGGCAGGTTTAGCTATTTTCTGTGGGGAAGGGAGCTGTCTCTGTAGCGCAGCAGATTTAGCAGATTAATAATCAAGGAAGAATTATTATTGATACTTACTATACAAACACTGCCAACATCTGCACATGGGCCAGAGCAGGGGAAGGCTCTGCCTTTTCCTCCATCCTGACCTGGGGGAGGCTCTGCCATTCCTGAGGCTCTGAGGTATTGGGGTCCTCGCTATGGCCACGCTCACAGCAACAATATATATTGACGCAGGATTAATTTGCTCCCCACAGGTGTGGATCCTGCCTCATGTCCTCTTAGAACACCCAGGCCAATGGACAAAATTCTAGCCAACAACAGAGGGAACTGACACACCAAGAAGACTGCAGTCTATACGTCTTGCAGGAGAGGCATGGTACCACCAGCCTGCCTCTGTCCTGTGTGTTCACCTCTTTGCTGCTTCACCATGTAGTCCTTCATCTCACAACTGGATGTGCCTCTAAGGACATCAGTTTTCCAACTGTTGGGTAAAACAAAGAGGAAGTTTATGCTTCTTCCCCGTATAAACATAAAAGGGAACATTCCGCCAGTAAAGCCTGCTGACCCGCATAGTGTGAGCTGCCCCTTTCAGTTCTCCATGTTACTGCCCCAGAGTCACTGCCCAGAGTGAGAAGGATGAGCATGCCTGGGCTCTTGTTTTGCATACAAATCCTTCCTTCCTCTTGCTTCCAAGGAGATCCCTGCTAAGTCCCCCTTCACACATGGGGAGTGAAGCTAACCCTTGAGTCTTGTCTCTGTGTAAGTGATAGAAAGTTCAATGTCAGAAGCTGTAAGACGTACAGTTCTGCCCTCAAGGAGCCCATGTGCTTTCAAGAGCAACCTACAGAAAAGGAACAGGAGCTGGGAAACTATAGTCTCAGGAGACCACACCTTGGCTGGAGTGTGAAAGAAAGCTGGTGGCAGAGACAGTGTCTGATATACAGGTAAGGCCAGGAGGAGAGCAAGCCAGTGTTGGGGGGGGGGGGCGGGACAATTATTGTGACAGAAGTCAGGAGAGTGCTCTGGATGTCAATGGAGTCTGGGAGCAGATTCTTGTGGGCTTGGGGAGGCTCCACCTAGGAGAGGTCCCCTTGCTCAGCTGTGACAACTCCTTGCTAGAAGCTGGCTGCAGGGAAGGCTCCATGGGGGTGCAGATTGGGAGTGCTCCCAGGAAGGCAGGGCTCCAAAACATGATGGATTGCTTTCACGGGGCTGCAATCCCCTCCTGCCTGCAGCGAAATGGCTTAGAACAGGTACAAGAATTCTAACTGCCAAGCTGTGTTTGTTGGCTTGAACGGCGAGTAGAAAGTGAGCTGGTGAGGGGCCCATGCTCTCCCACAGGACTACAGGGAATCTCACCGGGCACATGAATGCGTAGGGTCTGAGGGCTAACCAAGGCTCCTCACTCTGACTTCAAGGTCTCAGCCAGCTACCTCACCTTACCCTCAACCTCTCTAATCATGCCACCTCCATTTCCTAGAAATAACATTTTCTGAAAGCTAGGCTACTCTTCTCCCTTCTTTGGGCTCTTCTTCCATATACAAAGTATTCCTTCAGCCGTGCTTCAGGTAAAGGCTAACCTCTCTACCCATCACTATGACCTGCCTTGTCTACAGGCAACAAAGAACCCACAAGACATGGCTCACTCTAAGTTGACCTGCAAAGCTGGGATACTGGACCAGGCAAGAAACACACCTGGGGCCATCTGAGTATAGTTTTTCCTTGGAGAAAGATGTCCATATAGATGATAGCCTGTAGTCTTGACCAATAGAACAGATAACGGGGTGGGAGGGCTAGAGGTAAAAGGTGCTTACATATCTAGGACCAAGATGTTAGGTGGGCAGGTGAGAGAAGTATTCTCTGGAGCTTTTGTGTGTGTGTGTGTGTGTGTGTGTGTGTGTGTATGACAAGTGGCAGAAAGTTACTGTAACCACTCCTGCACATGACAGATGGAGAGTCGTTCAGCTATAATCTGAAAGGCTGCTGGGGTAGAAAGAAGGAGAGGGACTTGATAGAATTTGCAGCAGGTGAACTGGAAGGAGAGGCTCTCAATGTATAATCCATGGCAGTATCTGCCACCACAAGCCACCGACTTAGGCAAGGAGCCACGAGGAAGCAGCTGATTCTAATACTACACATGTGTAAATCACTGCCTGGCATGATGAGCTGATTCAGGGAACTGATTCTTTCCTCTTTTCTTTGTTCCAGGAAAGACATTTTTTTTTTTAAACTGAGGGCTCACTGCCCATTCATTAATCGTCTTAACACTGTGAGGGTCTCATTGTGCCTGAGCCTCTGATGGGGCTGGAGACAGTACAGGCAGCAGGCTCCACCCTGGTTGTCCAAGATCACTTACACGCATTCTCAGCAGCATTAGACACCACAGGGTAGGTGTCTGGTACACCCTTCACACACAAAATTAAGCATGATGACAAGTTGCTTTTTTATCATTCACTTAATGCTAAATTTGCATAGATTTAACAAGTACAAAACTCTATAAATAATGTTTAAATATAGGCATGAGCACTTATTCCAAAGTCTGTAGGTGCCTCATTTGTCAAAGTCAAAAAGTACTGGGATCATTTTTTTAGATACAACCTCATGTTTTGCTTTTCCTACTTAAAACTCCATTGTAATCATGCTCTGTGCTTAGAAAGCATTTATTTTTCTTTCTTTCTCCCCCCCACCCCAGGTTTTCTTTTGAAAGGCTAGCCATTCATTGATGATCTTTATAAGTTAAATGAAAACAGTGACTTCTTACTCAGGTACTCATTCATTCATTCATTCATTCATTCATTCATCATTTCTTAAGCATCTTCTATTAGGGTCAGGCACTGTGCTAACCCTGAGAAGCGCAAGAGTAAACCAGGGAGAGTCCTGCCTTCTATATCCTAGAACTCAGGCTCCTGAAGTTGCAAAACCAGTTTCCTATTCCAGTCTGTCTTGCTATGCTCTCTTCTTCATCCCTGGATTATTGCAGTGGGCAGGTGGATTTTTTTTTTTTTTGAGACAGCTTTGCTCCATAACCCAGGTTGGCTTCAAATTCTTAGGTGATGATATTACAAGAATAATGTTTAAATTATTCTTTCTGCCTGGCTAGTATGTCCCTCTTTCACTATTGCTTGATTCTAAGCAGACTGATCCAAGGTACTGTACTTTGTTTTACATATCCCCCATATACATATATGTGTATGTTTATCCATACACACACGTGCGCGCACACACACACACACACACACACACACACACACACATATATATACGATACATGTTACATATCTCCCACTTGTGACTCTAATTATCATTTTATCTTCTCTCTACTTTGTTCAAGTCCACACAATATCAGCTCTCTCAGAGATGAGCGCCTGGGCTCCCAGCTCTCTCCTCTAAGTTTATGGGAAGTCAGGCTGTACTGTGGAAGCTAATGGAGAGCTGCCTTCTGAGCAGAGCAAGGCCAGACAGTGTTTCAGCTACAAGTGTCTTTGCATTATGATTGCCAGTCCAGCTGTGCTAGGTTGCACTAAGAATGAGTGGCTGACACTACAGCGTGGTTTGCCATCAGTGTGCTTGATAGAGGCCTGAGTGAATAATAGAGAGAGGGTGACTAGTGAGACCAGAGGCTTAAAGGCACATTATTAAAAAGCAGCAAGCAGAAGCCACAAGCCTTGCAAAGCACCATGGACTATGAGGAATTAAGACTGAGTAGTAGCATCCTCCACACATGTAGCAGAAACACAGCAAGTCTACACCAAACCAGAAACACAGAGATAAGACTAACATCCCTTCCTTGGTCACCAGACCCAGTGATATCACTTAAAGCTATTGTTACTATTCTAAAGACCTCTCACTTCTCTGTAAGAGCTATCTATGCAGCTGTCCTTACCTTTTCCTACTTCCCCTCAGTCAGTTATCTAGGGAATGACTGAAACATGCTCTGTCTTTGCTTCCTGAAGGATCTAAGCTGACACAAAACGTAACTCCACTGAGGGCCACTGTTTCCCTTCCCTGCACTGGGCTTTCATAAACCCCCGCATCCAGAGGCTCCTTCCTTCTCTCCCCCCCTGTGTGGTATGCATGAGGATCAGCAGACCTTCCCTACGTGCTGAGCAGTGATGCAGAACTTGATTCACATCAGTCAGGCTCAACACTTGGGTAAGGTCAACAGACCCTGGCAATATCTCCCAAGTTCTGAAATCTGATGAAATTTGAGCAATGGAGAACTGTGGTTAGAGTTGTCTCTGACAGTCTTAACTAAAATGTAGATTATAACATGGAAGAGGTGTGAGAATACACAACTATACTTTAAAACAACCTTTAGACAAGTGCTGTGATATTTGTGGGCACACCAAACACCCTCTGTGCCCCAGGTCAAGTTGCCTTCACGTAGCAAGACTAATAAAAATCAGGCTCACCTTGCCAGCCAGGCTTGCACACTGGCTTCACGTCCACCTGCACCAGGGTATCCTGAGCGGCGGGCTTCTGTCCACAGTCATAAGCAGTTACCAGGATCTCATACTGGCGTTGCTTGTCATAGCTCAGCTTCTCTGTGTTCCTGATGTTGCCTGAAGAACAGGGATGCACACACTCATTTCTGATCACATAGAGTAGGCTGTACTTACTTCAGTACTCTTTCCTATCCCATCAGCCTTTAGAGAGAATGAAATGGTGGCCCCCACCTCTTTGCGAAAACAAAGGCAAACGGGAGCATAGCTGCCAACCATAATCCCTTTGTGCTTTAGTGGTAGGTTCCAGGGGTCCAATAGATGGAGTCATGTCTTTGTGCAGTGGGGCTGGTAGAGAATTCCAAGCAACATCTGGAGTCCAATTGGCCTGTGTTTCCAAGTAGTGGATTGCCAGAAAGCTACCTTGAAAGTACACACATATGCCTCTGATGTGGGCAGAGTACTCATCTACCATGAAGTTTCTGGGAAAGAGATGGAATCCAGACAACGTCCTGGCACGTCAGTTTTAGCATCTGGGCTTGTCGCCAGGAATGGTCACTGCTTCTTCTCACATTATTTTGCTACCAAATAGGAAGTAAAATCAATAAGAAAATGTGTGACCTCCCTTCTGAAAGCTGCACAGAATAACAGATTCTTTGCCCCGAGTAAAGAGTTATATTTCTTCTCCAAGAGAGATCAAACAATGTATTCAGAGCTGTTCATGGGTGTTTGCTCAGAGGAATTTAATATTATGATCAGAAATAAATATTTGGTCATTAATCAACAAAAGTTAGACTGGCTGGGTTTTTGTTTGTTCGTTTGTTTGTTTGTTCTGTTTTTGCTTTTTGATAGAATGTTATTTTGTTCCAAGAGGGGGAGGTGTGAATGAAGGCCAAACTCAATAGTTTTAAGTATTTTGAGTATTAAGATCTTCAATTTTGGGGAGCCATTTATTCCCTATATTCCCATTCTCATTTTTTCTCTCTCTCTAGATATTATCTTTTCTTACCCAAAAGTGAAATTATGAAAACAGAAACAAGAAAACAAATCAACAAACACAGAATGGTTGTGTCTGACATCTATTTTAAATTTCGCTAGCACTTTATTTCAACACTTAAACATTATCCATCCAGACTGGGGTAATGTGCTACAACAACAACAAAATCTCTGGAAACCAAACTGCTCTGAAGACTGGGGAAGCTGATTCAGCACTCCTCTTCCCCAGCACACTCTGGCGGGGAACTGGAGTCTGACCAGTATCAGGGAGAATACAAAGACACCCAAGACACTGCAGCAGAAACACACCTTTGCTGTGTGCTCTCAGCAATTTTAAAAACACAACACCATCTGCTGATTCAGGACAGTACTTTCTGAGTAAAAGTAGGGTTGCTATGATTCTGTATTTATCTCTGATGTGTAGAACTACTTCTACTTTCTTTCACACGTTGGTTTTACTTGCACAGGTCTGGAATGGCTCCTGGGATTGGTAGCAGTCCCTATGGTAGTAACTCTCAACCTGTTGGTCGTGACCCCTTTTGTGAGCAGAATGACCCTTTCATAGGGGTCACCTAAGACCATTGTGTAAAACAATGGAAAACACAGATATTTACACAATGATTCATCATAATGACAAAATTACAGTAATGAAGCAACAACAAAAATAATTTTATGGTTGGGAGTCACCACAACATGAGGAACTGTATCAAAAGGTCGAAGCGTTAGGAAGGTTGAGGACCACCATCCTAAGGACTCTACAAACTGGTCTGTGGCTGTCCTCAACACAGGGAGGAACTCTGCCAAGAAGAAGTACCTTAAATTCATCACAAGAAATGTTTCGGTAGCATCAGATTGAATTCTGAACAGAAGTATTTCTCTTTCTTCAGAATGAAGTGATTCCAGAAACCCACGCCACTTAAAAAGAGGAAGGCTCAGGGTTGACAATTGGTGTAGCATTAAGCTGACAAAGCACTATCGATTGTAGCAGAAAAATAAACACACAAACGGAATCTTTAGCTCAATTTGTTGCAGCTCTACTTCTGGAACAAGTCTTAATGAAACTGTCTGGGAGACTAATCCACTTTCTCCGCCACCACCAGCAGCTCCATGCATGTGCAAATGACTTTCAAAGCAAAGAACTTGAAACATTAGGTCACAAATGAGGGTATAATAATGTGGCTCTCATTGTTGCATGGGAGAGGGTTATTGGGGGGAGAGACACACATTTAAAAATGCTTTGAAAGCTCAGAGAGGGGAGAGAAAAACCCCATCATCTGTGTCTGTTGCAGATGTATCTTTTACTCCACCTAGGAGTGAGTTTCTACCTCCTGGCTGCTTAGCAGAACTGGGCCTCAGTAAAATTAAATGAGCTGAGGTCCTGGGTCTGGTTATCAAAGTCTAAGTGATCTTGGAGGTTAACCCTTAATGGCCAATCAGAATTTACCTTGCATATTAATGAAGTTATTATTCCTTTATGTTTTTAAGAAATTAAAAGAAGGAGAGAAGGGTGTAGTCACACTGCTCTTCATCCTTTTGCTGATGGCATTTCAGTTGTGGCCACCTTCTGGAAATGTGCTTGGTGATCTATGGTAGTTACTGTGAAACTGCTCAGATCTTTGTAGAATCAATCCCTCATGTAAAACTTGGTTCTGGGAAAATGACAAAGGACAACAAACTTCAGACATGCACGATGCTGTCCCTCTAGGTGTTACATTCTAGCAAGTTCCTTGTTGTATTAACTTGCTCAGATATTTAATTCCAACTTTATTGATAAACCTTCGAGACAAGGCTGAACTAAGTTGTCTAGGACTCTCACCCCCGCTCGTCCTATTTGTGGGTCTCCCTCAGATTCATAAGGTACAATTGACAAACCCCATGTGTTGTCAGCCTTTCAGTCACTGTGACATATATCTGATAGGAACAATTCAAAAGAGGAAAAGACACATTTGGAGTCATGGTTTCAAGAGTTTTAGCCCATGGTCAGTTGACTCTATTACTTTTGGGCCCAAGATGAGGCAGAATGTCAAGAGCATTGAGTTGGCATAGATGCCTGCTTCATAGTGGGCCAGGAAGCAGGGAAAGCCCGGAGAAGGGCTATGCACAAGATATACCCCACAAAGAAGTAGGTCACGCCCAGTGACCTACTTGTTTCCCAGACTCCTTTCAGTTCCCATACCCTCCTAACAATGTCATCAGTAGGCTCATCTATTGATGAGGTCAGTGTCTTCCTGATCCAATCATCTCTCAGTGTTTGTGTTCACTACCTGGATACCAAGTCTTAATATGGAAACCTTTTGGGTACCTGTTTATATCTATATCATAACAAGTGTATAGTGTGATAGTTTGATATAACTGAACTTCTTGAAATGACCTCCATAGTCAATATTTTAATATTTGACATATTTACACCTCACATAGTCATCTGCACGTGTTTGACAGTACTTGAGATCTACACTCGTCAAAATTCAATTTGTAATGTATATAATTCATTGTAACAATGGTTGTCATACACTCACTAGGTCCCCCGGTACTGATTCCCCATGTAACTGAATGCTTATACACTCTGATTGATGACTTCCATTTTTCCCACCCCCATATCTCTAGTAAACACCATCATCCTCTCTAGTACTATGAATTCAACATTTTTCTAGCTTCACATATGTATGAGATATGATACTTGTTCTGTCTCACTTATTTCATCGAGTATGATGCTCTATAGGTTATCAAACTTGTTGTACACGAGCCACTTCCTTTCCTCAAAGACTGAATAATTTTCAATGTACATGTCTGTATGTATCACTCTGTGTTGGGGGGCAAAGCTCTTTCATTTTCTTTTCTATTCATCTGTCTACAGACACGTTATGGTTCCGTGTCTTGGCTATTGCAAAGTTTGATGCAATAAATTATGGGTGTGCATTATCGCTCATTTATTGCCTCAAGAAAGCTACTTTATTTCCCAGGACTGGAAGTGTTAAGAGTATATAGTAATTCTATTTTTAATTTTTGTTTTCTGTAACAAATGGGTGTATAAATCTACATCCCAACCAACCATAAAATGGCTTCCTTTTCTTCAACCACCTTATAATATTTGTGCTTTGAAACTCTTGGCTTTTTGATAAAGGCAATAGGACAGTTGGAGTGATACCTCATTGAGGTTTTAATTAGTGTTTCATTTATGGTCGGTGATACTGAATATTTTTTCTCATGCCTGCTGGCCGTTTTATGTTTTCTTTAGGAGAAAGTCTATTCAGGTGCTTAGCACTTATTTTCCTAATGAGTTTGATGAATCCTGTGTATGTGTTGCACAACTCATTACTGTGCATGCAGCTTTTGGATATTCTCTTTATTCTGTAGGCTGCTATTCTGCTTTGATTCCTTTATTACCGCAGAAAGATTTTCAGTTAAATGTTTTTTGTTCTTGCCCTACTGCCTATCCTCTTGATTTGCTAAGAAGTTTGTGTTTTATCATGAAAAATATTGATGTTTCGTCAAATACATTTTCTGCATCTATCCAAATGGTCATATGCTTTATTTGTCTTTGATTTGGTAAACATGGTATGTTACATCATTTCATTCGTGTGTGTTTGTGTGTGTGTGTGTGTGTGTTTGTTGAATTTTCCTTCCATTCCAAAGATAAATTTCACTTGATCATGGTGTATAATTTTTTTAACATGTTATTGAATTTAGTGTGTGTTATGCTTTGAATGTGAAATGTTCCCAATAGGTTCATATATTATATCACTTACTCCCAAACTGATGGTTTTATTTGGAAAGGTTACAGAATCTTTAGGAGGTGGGACTTCACTGTGAGCCTTAGGGCTTTATAGCCCATGACCATTCCCTGATAACCCTCTGCTTCCTGAGTAGGGATGTAATATGAGCAATCAGTCCATTCCTGCCACCATGCCTGCAGCCCCTCCTTGCCAGGATGGACTGCAGCCCTGATAAGAGCTCCCTTATCTATAGGGTCATAGACTTGAATGCTTGGTCACTAGAGAGTGGCACTACTTGACAGAGAATCGGAGGTGTGGCCTTGTTGGAATAGGTATGGGCTTGTTGGAGGAAGTATGTCACTGGGGATGGGCTTTGAGGTTTTAAATGCTCAAGCCAAGCCCCTTGTCTCT